AATTTAAATTTTGTTAAAGTCAAGGGTCACAGTGGTGACCATTTTAACGACAAAGTGGATGAATTAGCCAGATTGACGCATGGTTATAATTCATTACCAATAACTTTTATGTTATTATTATTGGTCCAATTTTTATTTCACTTCTGTTTATAAAAATTTGGATTAATGGGGCAATTTTACATATAAATGGCTTCAAAAAACTTAAAAATTTCTTCGGTTTACGGTTTATAAAGTTTTATTAGTGACATTCATATTAACGGGGTAATTTACATATGTTTGGCTTTGGGTGTTTTAAAAATTATTCATTTTAACGGGGTTTTCGGATTAACGGGTTCGGATTAACGGGGTTGCCTATGTATATAGAAGTTGGAATTTTTTTTTTTGGAGTCACGTTTGTACAAACATTTTTTCGTTCACTGGGGCGTTTGACAATAACATGGGGAAGCATAGTGGACATTTGATTTCATTGGCTGTTGATCATCACAAATTTATCCAAATTTTATTTGGTCAATTTTGTATATATACAAAAAAATAAAAAAATCATAACGTCATTAATGCATGACTAGGTTTTTTATTATGCAGCCTAATGTTTTATTTACTCTTCTTTGACTTCATAAATCGTTGATTTATATTCATCACTATATCATCTATTATATAATATATATCTGTCATTTTCCTATTTAAATAAATTGGTGGACGTGAATATAAACATAAATGTAAATATAAATAACCTATGAATAAATTTTTTAAACATGTTTACATTACTTTATATTATCTCCCCATAAAATCATGATGTCGATTCAAGTAATTGTTATTGTTTAAAAAACTCTTTTCATTTTTTATATATTAAACGATCTTTAATTTTTTCTCTTCTTTTAAATATTATCTCATTGTGAAAAAATATGATATAACCTACTCATCCCGTGTTAGAAAAATTTGAATATAAGTAAATCAAATAAATATATAAAAATAAAATATTTCTTTCTTTAAAGTATAATGAGAAAATAAAATAAATAATAATAATAAAGGTTGCAATTCTGGCATAAATAGATCACGGAATCCTTAAACTTTCGTTTCTAATATAACATATTGAAATCAATTTGATCGATTTGATCGTTTTTTATTAAAATGTAAAGAAAGGTCTAAAATATATATCAATGTAAAAAAAAGATGTATTTCATAAAATAGTTTTTGTGCGCAGTCACGAGACTATTTCTATTCTAAAATCGCCTGTTTCACAATACACAGTGTAGGGTTTCTATTCGAATAAGGTTTATTCGAATTATTCACTTTATTCGTTATTATTATTAATAAACTTTCAATGTAATTCGAATACTCAAATTCATAATATTAATATTATTCGAATAAATTTTAATTCGAATTATTCGAATAAGAAAATTGATTCGAATAAGGAAATTAATTCGAATAAAAAAATTAATTCGAATAAGAAAATTAATCCGAATAAAAAAATTAATTCGAATAAGAAAATTAATTCGAATAAGAAAATTGATTCGAATAAAAAAATTAATTCGAATAAGGAAATTAATATTAATTTGAATAAAGCAAATAATTCGAAAAAAATAATTCGGATAAAACAAATAATTAAGGTCCAGTTTAAATTCAAGCTCACCGGAAAGATTGCTATTTATTAAAAGAAACATGAATCTTGTTTCAGTCTTCCTTATTAGTTTCATTTTTTATTTCAATTTTTATAATAATAAAATCAATATTAAACCTTGTTGTATATATAGTTTGAATATTTAAGTAATTGAACAACCCATGATTCCAAATAATCTAATAAAATGAATGAACAAACCCAAGATTCCGATAATGAATAAAACAAATAAAACAAATAATTTGAATAAAGCGAATTAAATTTTTAATTCGAATAAACTTTTAAATTCGAATAAACTTTTTAATTCGAATAAAACTTTTTAATTCGAATAAATTTTTTAATTCGAATGAATTTTTTTAATTCGAATAAATTTTTTTGACTCATATATTTCATATTAACATTTTTTTAAATGACATCGATATTGTTTTTGGAAATTTGGAGAATAAAAATAATTTCTCATCTGCTACTTTTAAAGGAAATTGTATCACAAAAAAAAAATAGTAATAGTAATAGTAGTGCAATTTGCAAGAATAAACCAAGTGCCAACTATTATAAAAAAGCTGGTATCAAAACCAACTCAGAAGTTTCCTCACTTTTGTTTTAATATTTTAATATAATTAATATTAATATAATAATTTACTGACGTAACTTTTTTTAAAAAAATGGATGAACAAATACAAGAAATTTTTGATGATCAAGAAATAGTTGACTTCTACCAAAAGGATTTTTACATCAATCCTGATGAATCATTTAGTCATGTCTTTACTGATGTGTAGTCGGAAACATCAGATGTTTCTACCTCATCAAAAGAAAGCACTGTGTGGAAATATTTTTATAAATGGCCACCCTATGCACCTGGACATAAATGTTCGTAAAACATGTTCAACTAAGTATGAATTAACAACAAGTGTGACAACCCTTTGTAAACACCTCAAGCTACATCAATTATATGCACCTCCCAAGAAACAGAGAACCATGACCAGAATGGATCCTTTTAATCAGGAGGAACCAAGTGAACATACTAAATACCTTGTTCAATGGATAATTTGTGACCTCCAGCCCTTTACTGTTGTTGACAACTCTTATTTCAGAGAATCCATCAATTACTTCTGTCCTCATTATATTATTCCTGAAAGACAAGACCTTATAATTAATTCATTCAATGTCAGAAGAACCAATCATCTTTAATAATAATAATAATAATAATAAACATATTATATGTTAATATATAATTACCATTCATTATTTGCATTACCAACATCATCTCTAATAATAATAATAATAATAATAATAATAATAATAATAAACATATTATATGTTAATATATAATTACCATTCTACCATCATCATCTCTAATAATAATAATATATTATAACCAATTTATTACTTAAATTGCCAATATCAATATAATTTACCATTATGTATGTCTATAAATTATCCATAATACAATGGTTTTCTATCTGGACACATTAAATTGTCATATTAATATATATCAATATTGAATAAAAAAAATATTATATCAAATGAACTATTTACTGACATTAACATTTATTATCATTATCATCATCATTTGTTTTCTTTTATCTCTTTATATTTTATTATTATTAGCACCATCTATATTATTAATTAAGATTCTTTCTATTATAATAATCTGAATTACATACAAATATTTTCATAATGCCACCACTCATTAATTTCTTTTTCTTTTTTGATAAATATATCCATAATGTAATAGTTAATACAAAATCACTATTCTAGTTGGATTAAAAAATAAGCATGCACAAGATGAATCTTTTATTGATGAAAAAAGATCTCTCTCTTGATAATTTGCAATCAGTATTCTAACTTAAAAAACAAAGAAACTTCTAAGTTTATCAGTAAAAAATCTTATTTATTAAATAATTGCTAAAAAAATTACATTTGACTACTTTACATATGTATAATTTTCATGATGTCATTAACAACTGAAGACATAGCCTTTGGTTGATCAATATTTTCATTTCTTTAATAGATATTTATATCACATATTAATATAACGGAATGCTTTCAAGTAAAGATTATACATTTTTGAAGTTGTACTACGTAGAATTCTTTATTTTATAATTACTAAATATGGCAGTGATTTTCGTTTAATGTAATATGTTCGTTAAACTTTTTTTTAATAAACAACAACATAGCGGGTATTCGATTTTACGAAATGATCAGCATTAGTTTCACAACATATAAATCATATACAAATGACCTGTC